GCTTGACGTCTGTGTCGAACATCCCAATTCTTTTCAACATGAATTGAGGCATAAAGTTTATTGTTGTGCCACCATCAACCAAAATCTTGTTGATTCCAACTCCTTCCGCCTTCCCTCTTATAAATAGAGGCTTAAGGTGATTCTTCATTGACTGGTCAAGACGCTTGAAAAAAGCATTTTGCTCATCCACAACACCATTGTTTATGATATAGTAATAAACGGGTTTGTGCCTAGCCATTTTGGCCTCATCCACTTCTCTAGAATCCTCTACTTACACCACTTGGTCATATTCACGTGGAAGTATAGAAACTACGTTGCAATTGACATTAAGTGAATATTCCTCATCTGATTCAAAATTATTTGCCATCATGTTATCATCATTGATTGGACATCTTTGGTCTTTTTCTCCAATCGACTCCTTCTTGGAGGGAAAAGTTTCCTTTCTAAATATTGTTTCTTTTTAGCAATGTTTGTTAGGAGACACTGATTGTTGCTTGACTCCCCTATTTCCTTTTCTTCTAATTATTTTTTAGCCTTCTTAATCCTCTAGTGCCTGCACCACTAAGTTTTGGTCATTGGATTCTTTCCTTTGTAATTATTAGATCTAGATGTTTGTTGTATCAATATCTAGAATTCCTTTCTGTAAGAAATTGATGATCCTATTCCCATCTCGAAACTCTTCCATTTTCCTTGTCTTGCTCCTCTGTTTTCAATTGTCCTAATCCACTTATCCGTAGGGATGTTTGCTGGGAGTTTGAAGGAAACCCTTCGATTTGCTTTAGGGTGTGGGCTATCAACTCTTCTTGGAACTCCTCTCTTGTCAAAAGTAAAACTGTTGTACTGACTTCTCCAACTACCCGTGGTTCTAGCATAATGGACTCGTTCATATTTTTCTGAAGCCTTTCGATCGTAGACAACACTGAATCTAGGACACATTAAGCATTTTGATTGCATCTTATGGTAATGGACAAGAAAACCTAGCAAGCTTTCGCCAGCTTTTGGGTAAACCATCTCCATCGAAACATCTTTCCTCTATCTTCTCTCATTTTGAGCTTGTTGGGTTTGCTGATAAACTTCTGCTGCTTTTTGATCATAAATGATACTGCATCTTGGGCACATCAATCCCTCGAAGTTCTTTTTGTGATAACGAGCCAAATAGTCCAGCAGACTTTCTTTAGATTTTGCATAAGTTTTGTTTAACAATGCATCCTCTCTGTGGAGACCTCTTTCGACTTCTTTCATTTCTGGGGTTGGCTGGTTTATGTCCACAAGGTTGACTTCGACATTAGGACCATCAGTAATCCTAATCTTATCAAACTTAACCTTGAGACCTTCAGTTGTCTCCAACATTGCAGCATTTGAAACAACATTCTCAGTAATGTTGTCTTTGAATTTCTGGTTCATCAGGCCTTCAGTAGCCTAGTTGACATATTGTTTATTGCAGAGGCCTTCAGTAGCCTCTGTTTCCTTCAGGTTTGGATCAACTTTGTCAATGATCCCCACCATGTTGATAGAAACTGGTTCGACATAGTTTGTTTCTGCCACGTTTAGAGGATCAGTATCTACCTTCATTTGTGGCTTAGTTTTGTCATCAAACTTCAGCCTTCCTTCTTTGATGGCATTTTGAATCAGATCCCTAAAAAGGAAACATTGTGATGTTTTATGGCCTAAAAATTGTGATATTTACAAAAACCTCTCTTGTTCTGTTGATCTAATGGAGGAATTTTAGCACCAGGTGGTACTATCATTTGACCATATTTTATTAATAAGTTGAATATTTCGTCACATTTTATGACGTCGAAAGTATAAGTTCTTTTTAGGGAATTTATCACTCTTGTCAGGTTCGACCAAGATTTTTCCATTCGAAGGATCCAGGACTTAACAAGGATATGATGGTCCTTATTTTAACTCAGCCAAATCAACTTCGACCTCTTCGAAGTCTGATGCTTCAGCATACATTTCTTGTTCGTCTATGGTTGTTTCTACATAAGCAACTCTTTGTTTCCTATGGTTCTTGTTTTCTATAGCCTTTTTGAGTTTTAAGCGTTCCACTTGCTGAACTCTATCTGCCAATTGAGCCATATCCCTTAAGTAATGGGGATCCAATTTCTTTCTGATGGAGAAATCTAATCCTCTCGCGACCATTTCAACTAATTCATATTCAGGTACCTAGGTGAAACATCTTGCTTTTAACAGGCGGAATTTGTTTAGGTAATCATCAATTGGCTCACTAAACTTGCGCTTAATGTTGGCCAATTCACTGAGAATTATCTTTGATTGACCTACATAGAATTGTTCATGGAACAGTCTTTCTAAACGCGCCCAATCATGGATAGAACCTGCTGCAAGGGTAGTAAACCATGTAAAAGCAGTTTTGGTTAGTGAATCAGGAAAATATTTTATCCTTAGGTTCTCATTAGTTGCTATGTCCCCAGCCTTGGTAAGATACCTGATTATATGTTCGACAGTTGATTTGCTGGTATCACAAGAGAATTTAGTGAACTTTGGGACTTTCCAACTCCTGGGCAATTCAGTTTGTAAAATGTATTCAGATAATGGGGAAGTATAATTTGGCCTAGTAAGGCCTACATGCACACCATTTCGTGCCATAATCCTTTCGACCATGGCTTCCAGATTGTTAGCTGCTGCTATGTTGTTTTATCAAACTTGAAATAAAACTTCATCAGCATTTTGGTTTCTATTTACCATCATAACTATAGGTTCTGCCTTCCTAAGAATCTGTGGTTCCTGCCTAAAAGATTCAGCCCTAGGTATTTCGACATTCGCAACCCTGGATACTTCGATTACCCCTCCTTAATTCATCATATTTTCCTGAGGTGGATTTCTTTAATTTTGTTGAACTTGGTTAATTGTTGGGTCTTCTTCCAAGACTAACCCTTGGTTTTCCTTAACCCACTCCCTCTGAGGATGTGTTGTTGGTTGGGGTACACCAAAAAAGTCAGCGATGCGCGTCATTTGCGCAGTCTTCTGTTGGTTCGCTTGAGTGGCGTTCTGGATCAAAGAGTTGAAGATTATACCCATAGTTTGTGCAAGCATCTGGACCATTTCATGACTTCTCTCGTCCATTTACTGCCTAATCACTCCTGCAGATTGATTTGTTAAATTTGGTATTTTGGATGAAACTCCTTCGATTGGTGGTTGGATATTTCGACCCCTGTTATTAATCGAAGATCCAGAACCTTGTAATGGCGAAGTCACGTTCATCACATAATCTGAATATGTTGAAGTAGAATTATGTAACCCCATCATAAACGAAGATGGCATGCCATAAGGCCATTCACGACCATTCTGAGGCATGGAAAAACCAAGTGGCCCCTAAGGCCTATGAAAAAATATTTCCCCCTGGAGGGGGGGGTTTCTTGTGAACCCTATAGGCCTATGTAAGTTAATAGAGGACCCGTGTAAGTATTCGAGTGTGTTAGCGTTGAACTTGTTAACGACGGTATGGCTTCAGAAGAAGGCGCAGAAACTGTATTTTCCCCTGTCGAAGTGACTGAGGGTGGCACTTCATCATTGTTAGGAGGATTTTGATTTCCTGCCTAGCCTTGATTCGCCATTCTTCTAATATATTTTCTTTTGGGTATTTCCTTGTTGCTTGTGGCTAATTTACCACTATTAAGTTTCATACAACGCAGAGAAATACAAGAAGATAATGAAGAATTTCAAAGAACTTTTTAGACTGAAACAGAAAAAATGCCAGAAAAACAAGAAATTGAACACAACGTCCTTCCGGGTGTGCCAATTTGTTTACCGTGGAATTTGGTAAACAATTGTTGATCTTCCAAATCTTTGTAGAAATGGTAACTTACAGGATCGATCAGATTAATCCTAAGTACATGTGTTATTAATTAATGTTCATGTTCTTATAATAAAGAGTATTTTCAACAACATCTTCATTATTTTAGATAAATGTTATTTAAATTATTATTTCGTAGACAGTAATATAATACTTTAAATATAAGACTGAAATGTAAAAGACTTTCGACTGAAATTTAAATGGAATGTATAAAACTTCAAATAAAACCAAATGACTATAAATGTAAAAATGGTGCATCATACGTACATTCTCGCAAACTCTTTTCTCTTAACGCTGGTACTTTGAGTGATTTGAGTATTTGTACAAAAGACGTGAACACACTGAAACTTAACACTAAGACTCCTATTTATACTAATTTCAACCAAACGGTCTCTAAATAATATGACGCCACGTTCGACAATTGCATGTATCTTCGAACTCCAAGCTTCCACGCGTCTCTTTGGATAAGATTAATCTTTTTGAATTTGAAACTCCTTATCTTCAAAGCGCCAAAACGTGACGGCCGAAACATGCTCATTGATACTTCGAATAAGCTTGATATCTCTATGGTCCGTATACGGACCTTTCGCCAACACTTAACAAAATTAAAACTTCAGTTTTAACTCTTCACTTATCAAAGTCTTCTCATAAACTCTTTTATTCTTTCCTTCGAATCACATCATCCAAAATGTATTAATTCAATTAAAACTCATGTAGTCGAAATTTTCAGTTAACAAAAATATATTGTAAAAAATGTTTCTAATAATAACATAAAATACTCAATTGAAATAACCCTTATAAACCCTCATATTTTAGAGAATAAATTGAAAATCTCTTGAATAGGGATGGCAAATTAAAATAAACATTTTGGGTTGGTCTTTAATCCATATTTTCTGGTAAAACAATTTCTAATTTTGAAGCTGCTATTAATAATTAATTTTATATGTAAAAGAAAAATTTATGCATTTCATTAGATTTGAGAACCTTATCATGATGATCCAAAATTGATGCAAAATTACAAATGCCTATACTATATATTAGTTCCAATATGTTTAACAAAACATATAGCTACTAAAAAGCACATCAGTAATGCAGTGCTACCACTGTTCTATACATCAATCATATAAATAATTTCATACATTGTGCTATCATTCATCATTCCTAAGAATGCACCAAAATGGAACTAAGAAGAAACATTAGCTCTCTGTTGGATCATGAACCTTTTTCTACTAGCACCCTCCACATGCTCACCAAGTTTTGCAAGATGTTCCATTCTCTTTCTCCATAACTCAGTCGAGCCCGACGATTTCGTCTCTTCTAGAGGCGGCTCAACCGATTCATTTTCAACTACCTCAACAATGTTCATCTCATTGGAGTCGTGTTCATCTTGTTCTTTTTCTTGTTCTTGTTCTTCGTCAGATTCTTGTATTATTTGCTTCAATCTCTCTACCACCTGACTCATTGCAGGCCTATCTTTGGCGCTCTTACGCAGACAATGATCAGCGAGCTTTGCGATTTTTCTCGCCGCGTTGATTGAATACTGTCTTTCAAGTCTTGGATCCATTATCGTGTCGAAATTTTTGCTATCAGATGGATAGTTCTTCACCCATTCCAATAGTTTTTGTTCGGTTTTTGGCCGGTTTCTTGCCAACGAACGCCTACCGGTGAGTATTTCGTATAGCACGACACCGAAACTCCACACGTCACTCTTGGAAGTGAGATGGCCTGTTTCAATGTAATCCGGAGCAGCATAACCATGTGTTCCCATTACCTGATATAAAACATGTTCGAGATTGAGAAAAAATGCAGCAAACTAAACTAATGCAATGTGAAAATACTAATGACACAACACTTACAGCAGTTGAAACATGAGTATCACCCGCTACCGGTCCCTCCCTAGCGAGTCCGAAATCAGAAAGTTTTGGTTTAAAATTTTCATCCAGTAGCACATTTGAGCATTTAAAATCACGATATATCACCTACATCAACACGATACAAAATATTATAAGCAATTCTGCTATAAGCTGCAAATAAGTTGTTTACCCAAACAGACGCATAATCAGTCATATTGCAATAACTGGAACCTGGACTTCTAATTCTTCATGGAGATAAGATAAGCCTTGAGCTGCTCCAAGTGCAATTTCAAGTCTTGTTTTCCAAGGCACAGGATCATAAGCTTTATTGAAAAGATGAGCTTCTAAGCTTCTATTCGGCATGTATTCGTACACGAGTAATCTTTGGATCCCTCTCTCACCATCCAAAGCACAATATCCAATAAGCTTCACAAGATTTGGATGCTCCACAACACCGAGAAACTGAACTTCTGTCAACCATTGCTTATGACCCTGCATAACACAAAGAAAAGAATGAATTTGGTGAGATTAATCTCTATCTTCGAAATCAAAGTCAGATAAATGAAGAATCGTGCATACATGAATTGAATTCGTGTTTTTAAAGCCGTTTATGTATATCCTTGATGCCTTCATTCATGATATATTCACAAACAAGAGTTCAATGGCCTAATTTTTCGACAAACATATTTTCTTCACTAAGAGCACCAAACAATTTGTCGCTTCTAATTCTTAATTCTAGACTTAAACACGCAAGATTATCTTTGTAACACCGACCCTTCATATGAAAGTTGTTTCTCATGTCTGAGACGTGTCAATGTGTGTCTGATATCAAAAAGACACTCAAACATGTAATTACATTCAAACACTTTAATTTTCTCAAATTATTACCGGTGTTTATGTCAGCGCTTAACATACGCAATAAACAAGAAAACGCAATTCTATGACAAATTATTTCTAGACAAATTTCATGAGTCTCATACCTGCAATGCATCTTTGTTAAGTCTTTTGATGGCAACCAAGACATTCTCACCATTTCCACCAACAGGCTTAATTGAACCTTTAAAAACACTTCCAAATCCACCTTCACCTATCTTAAGAAGCCTATTGAAATCACTTGTTGCACGTTTAAGCTCCGAGAACGAAAACACCCTCAAATTGTGACCCTTCTCTTCATAAAGTTTTGGTATACCTCTAGGTGAAGAGGTAGATGAACAAGAAGACTTTGTAACTCTTTCAGATCCTGAAAACTGGCTTTTCTCTTGCTCTTTTAGCTCAGGTGCTGATCTCTGACCCCTACCCTTGAGTGTAAACTTGAAGTAAAAGCACTTCATTTCATTCACACAATTCAATTATCTATGATTCTCATGTACTCTCACCAATCAACCTGCAATCATTTCAACAAATCATAAAAAATAATGATTGTCAGAAAGAAGAAAAACAAACTTGTACGAAAACGGTTGCGACAAAATGATACCGAAAGACGTCGATACCAATACCATTATTCTTCATTTTTGTGATAAATAACAAATTGTAGTTAATTCAAAACGCGACAACCCGCAATCACAACATTTATATCGATCAAAATCGCGAAAGGCGACCGCGACAGTCATTTACAACCTTGGAATACACCTTAAGCATCAAGGATACAAAACAGCCAAAAAGTTTGAAACTTTATGCAACCCAAATAGAAATTTGGAGGTAAGAAAGAACATAAAGGATGATCAATGAAAACCAATATAAGATTTTGCAAAAAAACACAACTTTTCATACAAAAACACTTACTAAATGAAACAGAATATGGAAAATCACATGAATAATCTTCAGAAAGAAAAACAAATGAAGAAAGAGGTAAAAGGGTTGAAATTAAAGAGTGAAAATACTAGAATACTTACAGGTATATAGAAGAACACAAAGAAGCATGGCTATTAGGCTACAACACCTTCTAGAGGTTTGCTTGTGATTTGCTGAAGGGAAAGAGAAGGTTCACACTCACGTAATTGTCTACTTTGTCAACTTTGTCTTTTGTTTCTTTGCTTTTTTGGTTCTCTTTGTGTCACGGAAATCAGAGAATTTAGAAGGAAAAAACAAAGGATTTATGAAGTTATGTCTTCTTTCATTGATTGACCAAACCAAACATATCTGTTTTTTTAGCTAGTCAAACAGGACTGCGTCAGTCGTTGACTAATATAGGTGAGTTGGAGAATTTTTATTTATATACGAAATAAATCGAGTATCTATTGTGTGTATGCATGTATGTACAATGACTTGTCACATAGAAAACAAAGTTTTAAAAGAAAAAATAAACCACCATCTAGTATAAACATAAATTGTGAACTCAATTATATACAAAGGTTTCCAAGATTTTCTTTTGGAAATTATGTTAACAGCACTTATTTGATGATCATGTCATGTGCTTTCTAATTGTGTTTTAATGTTAATTTTAAAGATGATATACGTTGTTGGAAAGTATTTCATATTCAGAAGTTGTTGTTAGAGTTATAAATTTTTAATGTTATTGTTTAGAAGCAGTGTTGCTCAGAAGCAGTGTTGTTTAGCAACAGTAGTTTGATATATTCAGGAAGTTGTTATTAGTCAGAAACAGAAGCTTCTGAGGTTACGCCTAAAAGTATGCTTAACTTCTAGGATTCTGGAGCTGAGTTTGTTAGCGTAGCTGTAAAATTTAGTATTTCCTAGTTTGTACCTTTTAACTTAGTCATTAAGTTTATTTTTATTAGGGTCTACGTAACAAATTACTTTGTGCATAAATAGACTAGTAGTAGCTGTCATTTGTAACAACAACAATAATAATAACAACAATCATTGTTCAATCATTCTTTCTTATAATTTTATAGTCATCATTGCAGAGCTTTAATATTATTCTCTTTTACCTTTTCTTCATTTATTAACCTTGTGCACCAACAAATTGGTATCTAGAGCTCCGATTCATATCTACAGGGAAACACGATGAAACAGTAAGGCATTGTATGATTGATTTTGATTCTTGAATTCGTGTTAAATCTTGAACAAAATCTGAGCAGAATCACATTTTCTGATTCTGTGGAATTGGGAAACACTATGTTTCTGAGATCTGAGTATTCTGTACAACATTGAAGATGACCGAAAATAGTAGTCCAAGCACCAAGCTTTCAGTATTTAATGGCAAAAACTGGAATCGTTGGATGATTCAGATACGTGTGTTGTTTGGTGCTTAGGATGTTCTTGAGCTTGTTACAAATGGTTATGTTCTAGTTGTAGCAAATGCGATAGGGAACATATGAATACGCAGAGAGATACAAGGGAGAAAGATCAGAAGGTGTTGTTCTTCTTCCATCAGTGTGTGTGTGTGTGTGTGTGATACGGTGGGAGAACTGACTTGAGGTTTTGCGTTTGTGTTTGCAAATGTTTCGGTTTAGCAAGAGTCGCCACCGACTTTTTATTTTATCCAAAGGAAATGTCAAAAAGCACAGGAAAGACCTTTGAGATGTTTTCTTGGGTTCAGGGAGTAGATTATAAAAAGGGAAGGTGCAAGCACCCTTTTCATCCATGGTTATCCATGGGCTCTTAGTTACTTGTTTAGATCACTTGCTTTGCTTTTCCAATTGTTTGAAATGGTGCTTTGTGTGTGGTTTTAAAAATGTTTTGAAAATAGGCCATCGTTGTGGCAACCTTTGTAATGACTCTTGTTTGAATATATACAAAGGTGTATTGTCTTTTGAAAAGATTTTAAAGTTTGAAAGTTTGGTTTGGGAAATGTTTTGAAATTGTGTTGTGAAGTGTGTTTGAAAATAGCAAGGATGTTTTGCAAGTTTTTTATCAAGTAACTAAGAGTTGTCTACCCTATTTTACTCAAAGATCTTTCATACACATTTTTAACCCTTTTGACAGTGTTATTTTACCATTGCATTTGGTAAACAACCTTGTATTAGGATGTTAAACGGGACAGGCGCGGGTCATCGTATTGACCATGATAGCAATGGTGCTAAGTATCTTTAGCAATTTTGAGGGACTAGATCATTTTTTGTATAGGCAACCAAGATAGCGTCATCGAGGGACTATGATCTTTTTGTTTTGTTTTTATTTTGCCAAAGATACTCAACATGCATAACATGGCCATTTAAAAAAGGCAACAAGTGGGTGAGACCCTAGGGGTGCAAGTGTGCATTATGTTGTCATTTTTCATGTTTTTTGTCTTTGCATTAGTCAAACTATTTGTTTGATTTTGGATTTTTTGCATACAAACCCTAATCTCTAATCATGACATAATTTGGAAGCATAAATGCATAAAAGTAAATCTACCACTATTACAACATGATTATGGAGAGGGGGATACAATTTTTGAATGGGGATTATTTGGCAAGAAATTAAAATCCTAATTTTACTATTACATCCAAATTGAATCAATGGCATAAATAATAAATGAATAATATTTAAATAAACAAATTAAATAAATATACAAAATATCATGAATATGCAAAAATGTTTATGTTTATTTTTTATGTATGTAAAAAATATTTAATGCAAAAAGAAAGAAATAAATAAAAAAAAGATTATTTTTTATTAAAGGTAAAACCCTAATTTTCTTTTAAGAAAGTAAATATATTAAATATACTATTTATATACAATAAAATAAAATAATGTATATACAAAAAATAAAATATATTTAGAAAAAGTATTATTTAAGTATAAATAATAATAAAAAAAATAAAAGTATAATATTTTTATGTTTTTATTCTCAAGTATTTATTAAATAAAATAAAAGTATATATATATATATATATATATATATATATATATATATATATATATATATATATATATATATATATATATATATATATATATATATATATATATATATATATATATATATATATATATATATATATATATATATATATATATATATATATATATATATATATAAGACAAAAATATATTTAGAATAATATTTTTTGAGTGTAAATAAAATAAAGGATAAAAATAAAGGTATAATGTTATTATATATTATTTTCAAGTTTTCAATAAATAAAAGTATATACTAATTAAATTATTTTCATGTTATAAAAAATAAAAATAAAATATAAAATAAATGTGAAAATTTATAATAAAAAATTTTGATATTTTTTATGTTTAAAAAACAAGAAAATAAAATCAGAAATGAAAATAAAATGGAAAAATACAAAAGTATGAAGAAATGGGCCAGGGGGGTGCAATCAGTAAAAGGGGGGTGTCAAAAACAAAAAGCCAAAGCCCAGCCTAAAGCCAGACTTCATCTTCAACCTTGGTTCAAAAACGTGCGCGCCCTGTACCAAATGCCAGATCCTGCATATGGGCTCTAATGCAAAAACTCAAAACATCAAAGTTGTAGCATTTTTCAAGACGAATCCAACCATATAAAGAATTCATTCTAACTCTCAAAGACCAGAGAGAATTTCTCTCACTCTAAATCCTAACCTAATTTTTTCAGGAAGTTCATGGATCAAATTCTCTTAACACACTTAATTTAAATGGAAACTGAGCATATGTACAGCTTCATGGCTATGAATACTACATTTTTTATTCACAAACCTAAGCCTAATAATTCCTAAATAGAGAGATAGGAAGTTGATAAAAACCTGTTTCAGTTGAGATCGTGTCTGACAATGTGGAGCTTTTCAATGAGGCCTGAGGTGTTTGGGAGCTTGCTTGAACTTCCTCTGACCTTCCCCAATTCCTAGCTTGCCTTGAATGTGCTTGAACAAGCCTATAGAACTCAACCTGCACAAGCTGAAATAAAAAATGGAAAACCTTGTAAATGGAGTTACAGTCAATGTTTAAGGTTTGGGATAGCTTGGATGGGTTATGTGGAATGTGTTTGAACAAGTTTGAGGCAAAACGCACGAGGGATTTGTGCTATGGAAATCAAACTGCAGGGAGTGTCCTGTTTTGCCAAATGAAGATGATTTTGTGCTATGGGAGATTTTGAGGGCTCAAAGGCTCGTGTTTCTGGCTCAAGGGGATGTGAGAAACTTGTCTCAAGTGCTTGCCAAGGTTGGTTTTTTCAGATGTTCCAGTTGTAGTGTATTTGACAAGTTTCTTGGTTATGAAGCAAAAAATGAGAAGTGATGCAAAACAGGCCTGTACAGGCTATCTATCACCTTACACACTATGCTCTTGGCCCCTCAAGTTGGTGGATTTGATTTTTTGCACAAGATATGGCTCAATGCTCAAGGATGCAGTTTTGACATAAAGCAAGATTTAAGCAAAAATGGTAATGTTGCTTTTTCTATTTAAGGATTAATCTTGTGTGCAATCCTCTTATGACCAAAACAAAAGCTTAGACCAATGGATT